GATTGGAACCAAAGCTGGATGCTAAGCTGTGCTGATCTCGCCGCTGACCACAGCGCATTGGTGACTGTGATCAGGAACACCTATGATATGGACCCAGTAGGAAATGGCCGAATTAAAGTGAGCATGCAGTTCACTACGTCGGGTTCAGATCACTAGTTTCAACAGCCGAATGGCAGGTTTCAGCGATCATAAATTTCTCCTCGTCTTTTGTCCGGCGCACTAAAACACTTAGTAGTGGGATGCATCTCGCATCACAACACTGTCACCAGCATGAACGTGTACCAGTCGATTCGCGTTGCAGGATGTGCTATCGAAATGTACTAACTGACTGCCATACTGTCAAACTACACCAATCTCCGTACCATCCAAGAGGATCGATCATGTTAACGAACCACAAATCGGATAGCAGCCTCGAACGAATGAGCAGGTTTGTGACTGAGTGCTCGATAGGTTCTTTTCTAGATTCAGGGGTTTTTTAAGTCGTTTGATTCTTCTTACCATCCAACTCGACCAACTCCAGACCTTAGGCAATACTAAAACAACTATCTTTTTAAGACCCTCAAAAATTGTTCGGTGCTTTAGATACCAATAGACATTCGTTTGTGTTTGAGTGTGTGTGTGTGTGTGCGTGCGTATGAATGTCTTCTTGCTTGCAGGCCATTCTACAAGGAATAGTGGCGCAGGGAGGAAAAGAAGAGTGAAACGGAGTGCGTACGGTTGTCGAGTGTGATGCTCTCCTCAGTCCGGACATTCACACAGACATAAAGTGAGAATGATGAAGAATGATTTTAGGAACAAACACTGATCGATCCGAGGTATGCTTCTGAGGCACTTTTGGTAGCAATCAAAAAGTGATGGTGCTTGATGCAGAAAAGATGAGTGAATGGATTTTGCCACGGTGTCGTCTAGACAGTATTAAAGAGAAATAACTGGGTGACTGTATGACTTGACCGTGGCCGCAGATGTTTCGAGGCCGGAGGCAGGTCACTGTGTGTAGGTCGGGAGATTGGGGAGGAGGGGGGGGGAGAGAGAGNGAAGATAGGAAGAGCACCATGAGGCAGAGATGTATTGTCGATTGATTGCTTAGTTTTGGCCTGTGTGAATGAATAGGGGAGTAGAGATTGAGAGACAGAAAATAAAGAAAAGATCAGTTGGACTTGTGGAACGAAAACTGAACGAAATCGGCACATGCCGTAGAACGAGTGATTCCAGCTGGATTAGCGTTTCACTGATGCAAGCGACGTGATGGTGATGGTGGTGCCAATGTCAGTAATGATGTGATGAACCCGGTGGCACAAACCAAACCCGAACCGCATGCGACATGTGTGATCACAGCAGAGCACCAAACAGTGAACCAGTTGAACCATACCGCATCCCGCTTGTTGTGAGCAAATGTGATCCAGTGCCATGTGTGCGAGTCACCTCTCTTCTTTCCACCGATCAGTCTATGTGCTGATATCTGCATGAAGACATGGGAGTGTGAGTGTGACAGGTAGACGACAAATGACCAGCACAACAGCGAATAAGTAAACTTTATTTATGCTGTTTGAGACTTGTGGTATGGTAAAGATGAAAAAAGATAAGAGATGATTAAGTTCACGGATTCCCTGTGATCCTGTGTTTGGTGTCTTCACACTGGGTCAGTGAATCTTGTCTGTGAACCCCATTGTATTCGTTGAAAACTGAAAAAGTTGAAAACAATCATTGCCCCCTCGAACCCCGATATAGCTCACTGCGTTTTGTGTTGCGCCGAATGAGGATGGGAAATTGAAATCACTGACAAAGTGGTTAGTTCATTTTTACCGTATGGTTCCAAGTTCGATCCCCTGTAAAATCAGTGAATTCACGCCGCTTAACGACATTAAAGTTTAATTTTTTGAGAATTTGAATAATCCCATGATAGCATTAATAAAGTAAGTTACATAGCAAAAAGTCATTCATGGTGATTTCTTGATGCACTCTTGCAGCATGCTAATGCCTCTACCCCACCCAACATCAAAGTATATTTGGAACTGTGAAATGTTCAGTAGCCTCGGTCGGATTCAAACCCACGCGCAGACGCCACCCGCGTTCGCGCACAGCGCTCGATCTACCAGCTCAGTTATGAGACCACCAATAGCACTTATGTTTTCACTTTTGATCTATCCATTCAACCTAATGGCGTATAGAATGCACCAGCGAGCATGTAAGCTAACTGCCGCTACAGTTTTTCCTCTGAATCCACCGTTTGTACTTCTAAGGCAGTTAGATGGATGGACCAAATGTGAATAGATCAATGCTCTTAGGATGTGTGCTCATGGCTCATCTGGTACAGGCTGCACCGTGCAAAAGCGTAGACGGCCTCTATATATGGGTTCGACTCCCGTTGAGGAGACCGAACATTCCACACTCCAAAATATAATCTGCGGAAAACTAAACAAATTAAAAGTTCGAGCGAGATATACGGTAGCCCAAATGCACCTGCTTGCATTCAAGGGCAGCATTGTTTGTTGAGTCTCCGACTGTCCACTGTTTTGTAATCACAAACCTTATTTTCAGAACCGGACGAGAGGTTAACCACAGTTTGCCAGGGATAATGATAGAGAACTTTCTTGGCACTGGACTCGTGAGCTAACCTGCATGACCGCCGCCGCCATTTAGTCTTGGCAGTTTTCACAAGAGACGCACTATCCTGTTCAATATGCACGATTTTTTCCACAATTTAGTGCTCTTTTCGGGCAACAAATCACTAAGTCAGTCCCACACGGATCTTGTCTAAAATTAATTTCTGTTACGCAGTAGCATCGTAAACTACTTGCTCCCCAGTCACATTGCGTCATCAGCGATGCGCCCTGTCTTTGAAGTCAATTGGGATCTAATTCCATCACAACGAGACTGCACCTTGACCTGGTGTAATGACGCACCTTTAGGACCCAAAGGATAGTTTTTATCAAGTCAAAAGATCTTATCATCCATGGAAGGTCAGACACAGTTCAGTCCTCCAAGTTGGCTGTTCAACTCCAGTTAGCCTCTCAATCTGCAAAATAATGATGAAAAAAAAATCGATTCAAGTAAATGAGCCTTCACTTCTCTTTATTCGCTGCCTTGCGGTCAGGCGATTGTCAGAACCAAAGGCTTTGGTTCAGAACCTGAATCGTTCTTCTGCCTTGTCGCCGGACTCCCTAGCAGTACCCAGCCATAAAGCTCCAATGAACACAGACTAACAGAAATTCCATACTGCATCGGTCGTCGCTCAGGATAATCAGGACCGCGCTCCTCTCTGCATTCGGTGGGTTGGGCAGTGATGATTAGGCTAGTGATAAAAAATTACAACCTTTGTTTTATTGCTGGTCTGCAGTACCCAACCCACTCCCCTTTCCTTTTCTCCCAACCCGTAAAATTCCATCCGATGACTTGTTTGTTCGTTTGTTAAATAGCGCTGTCAATCAATTAGCATCAAATACATTACAGATTCTGAAGCTTCGTCAATCACTGAGGGCTCTGATGGATTACCAAGCGTGTCTGGCTTGTTCAACGGAGCTTTTGATGATTGATGTCTCCGGTGTGTCAGAGATGACAATCCATGATATTTGTACTGAGTCCCTTAAGTTGAAAAGTTACACGACTGTATGATCAGTTCTGCTTCACGGTTGTGAGACCTTGAATTTGCGAGTAGAGAATATCCGTCGTCTGGAGGTTTTGACAATCGATGCTTACGTAGTTTGTCCCAGGTGGGATAAAGTGCACAGGTTAGTGATCTAGAAGTAACTCGTCGTGTGTTTGGGAAAGTATCGGGGAAGAATTCGCTATCGCACCGAATTTAGCTCAATAAGCTCTTTCGGTTAGAGCACATTTTGCGTCTAACGGTCACCTTCCGCACCGTAAGCGTTTCGCAGTCATCGCTCCGGGCTGGAGAGAACCATATGGAGGTCATTGGATAATGTTGAGAAGAATCATGAAAAAATGCACAGACCTTTCAGATAGAGTAGGTTTTTCCTGTCTTCCAGACCGGGGTCCAAAATAATTCATAACTAGTTGGCTGGAGAAACAGAAGGATGTCAGTTAACCGACAACGGCGGTGTTCTTGTTATTTCCAATCGGACCAGAACGCCTGAAGAATTGCTTGCACAGTTGGACGGTGTACTCTGTGAAATGACCATAGAGGCTCACTTTCTTTCCCCGTTCCCTGAACTAAACTCAGTCCCTATCCACCTCACCTACTCTCACCTGAAGTGTATACATTATGAGTTTGGCAGCGATCAGTGGAGTTCGCTTCGCCGTATTCTGTCGTACATTGATACTGATGCTTCTGCGATCCACAACCAACGTCAGATGTGCAGTATCGTATTCAATAACGAATTTGTTGAAATGGTCCTACACAAGTTTATGGGTCAAGTGCGCTGGGTGGTAACTAAAAGGGTTGGCAAGTGTAGGCAAGACGGAGTTCGTTTGAGGATGAAATTGTTTCTCATGGTTTGTCCGTATTCAGATTTCAGACGAATTCCGTTATTTATTTTCAGTGCGATATCAAGATAGGCAGTGCACACAGAAAATAAGGTCAGCCCATTCATTGCTCTATCTCAAGATAAGAAACATGTCGTTAACGGTGCATTGATTCAACGGCATTCGCAATAGACCAATGTGCAATGAGCTAGCCACATTGAATAGGTAACCGCGCCACGTGACACTGTTCCGGATTAAGGAAATCATCGGTTCATATATTTGAATTATCGTGTTTTCTGGGATACCATTAGTTGATTTTTCGCCTACCGTCTTCCGAACCGCGCACGTATATCGCCATATTCATCGAAAGATTGGTGTTAGTAAAGCATCGGTTGAAAACAATTGACCACATTTATATGTCCAGCAGCGATTACACAAAGAAACAACCACTTGTATGTGATAAATTTTCAAATATTTACAAAGAAAATAAGATCATAACATTCAATTTAACTTCCTTGAATGAAAACAAAGTTCACTTGAACCAGTGTCAATAAATCGATCCATTCAACCTAAACACTTGTCACCGTTCTCATGAATTGGAATAAATGAATCGAATAAAGAGCAGGGCATAAAACGGACGCGTAGAACTGAAGTATTTTTAGAGTTTTGTTACTCTATGACGTTGAGCATTTAAACTTTCGTTTTTGTACGTATCTTACAGTTGATCAAGTATGAACCATAATGAATCATAAACGCGTGACTCACTACATATGCTGATGCTTCATTTATCAAGATTGTACCGCCGACAAGATGCGTGCACGCAGCATATCTGAATTGATCGATAGTGTTCTCTATCATACTTGCTCACAACAGGATTCTCTTTTTTATCTTTGACTCAAGGATGATAAGATATATATTAATTCATCATTCCATGCGCATCCACAGGCATCTGTTAACAATTCGATTGCGGTTACCAGTATTTCGCAAACATGTGACCCAGGGATGAGCGTTTAGTTCGCATCTTATGGGACCGCAGTCTGAGCCCTAAAGGAATAAAACAAGGCTGTCGAGTCACCTCAACCAGACAAAGAAGAATCAGAAAATACCTACCCCGTTCGGTCTGTTGCCTGTTGCAATGTGACTTAGAACTACGTCGTATGTTGGAAGGAGACGACAGTCTTTAGGAACAAAGGAATACTCTCACGAAATAATACTAAATTATCACCTGTTTCATTACCTGTTAACGGTTTTCGCCTCATTAGCAACAACTCAATCTACGGGAATGGAACTACGAGCGATCAGCTAGCTACCAAGAAACTGAGTTGATAGAACAACGCAGAATCAGTTTCGAGATCCAGACTTTTACTGAACTGGTTAATGCAACGATCGAATTAAGCTTCTAACCATTACTGGAAATGAGTGCATCTTCATTCGGTGGCCGTATAACTGTAATGCTGTTCAGTTTATCCCGAAGTGGTCAAATGTGTTTATAATTCGGCTTCAATCGATCCAGGGTCTCACAGATACTGAGACAAAATGATTTCACTGATAGAAAACTATCAGCTATCACTACTATTATTACCACCACCAGTAGCACTTCTACTACTACTACTACCACTACTGTTACTTCTACTATCGCTACTACCAAGACCATGACTACCACGTTTTTTAACGGTTTATTTTAACAAGTGTATGTCAAATGTTCAGAACTGTCCTGTTGTCCACCGGTGACGCCAATCAGAAAACTTACCCCACGCAAGCGTCAAAAATTCCGCCGGGGAACGTAAAGCTGTCCGATGTTGGTTGTTTGGTTGGATATTTCGTATAATTTGTGATGATCAATAGACCAAATCATTGGAATTGATGGAAAAAAGAGAAAGAAAATTCATACATTAAACATCAATCAAATCATCCGCCTTGCATGGGAAAAAAATTCATTATCGGTGAACTACGAAACTGAACTAGTCCTCAGTTCGGGGTTTGTTTTGCAAAAAAATCCAAAATGATATGAGCAGATACTGAGTGATGTATGGGTGTATTCGTTATTTTGTTCTTGATGGTGCTCTTTCTGTAGCTGATGGGTGCGAGAGAAATTATTGTCATTGCTGGTACCACATGGACGTAAATCAGGTTGAACAAAGTATTTTGAAAGAAAACAGACATGAACCATTCGAACGAGATATTTGGGCGTGGTATACACGAAGCAGTGTGCCATAGAAAATGGACGAATTGGAAAGGTTTGTAAAGCGCAATTTTTCCTCGTAAATATTTCCTACTAAAGAGAGGAAAGCTTAAGAAAACCTTGAATTCTTATCACTGCTTTTGGTGCTTGAGTCAGTGGAACTAATTTAGCAAAAACGAAGAGTCTCGCCATTCAAGGGTTGATTATTCTGATACATGAATAGGCGTTTGCAACGGGCGTGTCCCGAATAGAAAATTCCTATGTGGACGTTTTGAACGTAAAAACAACAACAAAAGCAACCACGACAGGCAGTAATCTTTAATCCGTTTGTCAACAATCCTCGAATCAATCAATAGTGAGCCATGTTTTAGTTAAGACAAGGTATTTTTGAGTACAGCACAGTTTGCGATATTCGGGTCAATATTCTGGAAACGATTTTTTGTACGTTTCCTCAAGTAGATGTATGAATATACACACCTGCGCTATTGATCGTAGGTAGTAGGCTTCAGTGGGCGGTTTCCACTATGGACACCTTTGTCTCGTCAGTGGATTCCGTGACCGAAAAAAAGAACTCCAACCCAATGTGACAAGTTTCTAGACTTTAAAACTGTTGTACATGTTGAAGAAGTGTAACATCTACAATATATAACGCAAATATCTTGACATTTATAAAATCTATAGTGACCGGATACTAATAGTGAACGCTTTTGATGGAATGAATGAACAATGTGGTTTGGTACTCATCCGAACATTGAGTCACAGGGTGTTCTCCTTTACACCAGACGTGGTTCAAGGAAGGGCACTAGATAGCGAACTTTTAAAAAACTTAGACTTGGTCATGTTGTTGTCTGCATTGAGAGTCCCGCTTCCACAGATAGTGCTAAATTCGTCCGTTAAAATCAGTTATTATCCTAGATTTTGTTCTGTGGCAGATAAAGGGAAACCAAATTGTCGAAAGCCCAAAAGGTTAATCCACGGTTTCGGAAAACTTTCATCGAAGATGCCACAAAAGAAAAACTCGTCTCTTTCAACTTGAGCATACTTACGGACCAAACCCAAAGAAAAATTAAAAAAAATTAAAAAAAATAAATAAAATAGACCTACCTGACAATGAACCGGGTGAGTGCTCCAAATCCAACGTGTCCAATGGATCATTCGGTTCCGGCGATGAGGTAGATTCAGTGGTTTCTGATTGATCACCCAGACCGCATAGTCGATCTACCGGATTTGAGGCGTCTGATGTGGCCGCCGGGCTAATACTTGAACTGGTTGCTATTTCTCTCCCTTTATTCATTCGTGTTTGGAACGATTTTGGACGACTTGCGGTCCCAATAGTAGTAGTAGTAGCCAAATATGGTGTAGAGGCACAATCTTTGGCCAATGTTCGTGTCTGCTGTGCCAGGTGTGAATTTCCCGTTTGATATAACAAGGCATCGCGATCCCAAAATGGATCATCATGAAGACTGAACTGACTCAAATCGGAAACCAGAGTGTCATCTATAAAACCGTCTTCTATATGTGCAAACGATCGATGAGACTGATAGCCACAGTTGTGTAATCCGTAAGGCATACTCCCATTCCACGCGGAACACATACCTCCACCACCTGGGCGCTGATATCCCGATTTTCGACGTCCTCGATAGCCTTGCCGATACGGTCGCCGAGGTGGTTGACCATAGTATTGATACTGATTGTAGCCTGGATTATGTGGTGGTCCCTGTCGTGGTCCTCCACCATTCAAGCGACCGCGAAATCCGGGTTTCCAGTGATTCGGACTACCATTTTGCATCGGAGAACCACCTGTTCAAAACAAAATGGAGAGACAAATTGTTAATTGTGAACATGAAAAAATCACAAAAGACTCAAAGATCAGAGTCTAGTGAAACCTACAGTACGTTTGGTCTAAACGAATTAAAGTTGCAAGGGACAGTCGAATTCGAACTGAATGAAGTGTTATCTGTTTAACTTGGTCAACACGTTTATCATTTTTTGTCCCTACCTTGCTTCATGCATTGACGTTTAGTAATCCTAAACACAAAACAAAAAAAGAATCCAATAATAAAGGTGTTTTCCCCATTTAACCGATTCATGTTTATTTCATTATTCTTTTAGAATAGTGACATCACGACCAGTTCCCAAAAGTGTAATAACTTTAAATACTTAGTTTGATCACTGTTTTTAATGATTCGAAAAAAATATGGAAATTTCTGTCTTTTCCTGTACAGCAAACTCATTCTCAATGACTTTCCTTTATTCGAATCGCCCAGTCGTTTGAATAATGTAAGCTGACATACTAGAGCTTAAGGTATATTGGTTTTACCCTCTTTCTGCCTCGCTTAAAGATATCCTCAACTGAGAGGTAGGAGAAAGAAATACAATTTGCGATCGTCATACCCTAAACAAGGTGTTTGTAGGGAACCCCTGTGCAGATTCACTTCACAACCTGGACACACTTCACCTCGGTACTTCTTCGCCAGTTGTTCCAATCACGTGGTTATGCGAATTCACCAGACTGATTACGAATAGAGAAATTGGAACCTGGAAGACAGACGGAATGCAAGAATCCTGCCAAATCGGTTACCGAGCAACTAATGGCACGGTTCACACTCTCCTCATATACGATCGCGCACAATCAGTCCGTGTCAGCCTGTTGTGAGTTGCAACCCTCACTCGTTCTCGCCCAAATAAGCCTACCAGTTACAAGATCAATAAATGTCACGAGCGCCTGTGAACGAACAAATTATACATAACGGGGAATGGACAGGAGTCAGTGTAAAACGTACACGTGAATTTATACCCGCGAAATCACGATAATTAGTGGTAGAGAAGTAGTAGTCTCCCTTATAACCCTTTTTATTTTCACAAAGATTTCTCATGAACATACATACACTTACTGGGATAAGGTTACTGGCTGATTAGGCAAGTAAGTTAATTAATTTTATGGAAACTAACTTATTACGTGTTTAGTCTCTCAGGGGTAATAGTGTGAAACGGCTGACTGAATGACGCCAGTCTAATGGCGACAATGCAGGTTCACAGGATAAAATCCGTATTCGACATATAACATTTATGTTTAATCGAAAAAGTGTGCAATTCCGCAAGTGCTGAGCTATATTTCTTTGTTATGTGAGTTGCTCAAAGGGATTAGGGAAACGTGCCGATTAGTTATTGACCGAATTTGGTGATTCAACTCTCCTGATTAGACTGGGCTCGGATGTACCCGAGTACAAGCATTCATTTGAGAAGATTCGTCTTAAAATTTATCAACCTTGAACTGGGAGCACAGGATTTACCTAGATCATTCTCACGTACGGGCATGTTTTGCACGCTTTGTAAAGTTTCACGTAGATAGGAAAATTAATTGAAAATGCATCTAAAAAGCTAACTTATGGTCCTGAAGAGTGACAGTTAGGCAACAAAATGGGTTCATCAAAAGATCAGGAAAGGTTTGATGAATTCAAATAAAAATAAACAATTTATCACTCTGGACTCAAGTTGGGTACTTAAGGGGTGCAAATTTACTTTGGAGAATTTAATTGTTACGGAGGTTGGGTTAGTCAGTGGTAACCGAAAATTTGAATTGTTTTGCTATGAGGGTATGAAACGCCCTAACCAGGATACTGGGTCATACAGATACCGTTAAACTCCCCGAATGGGGACCCCGAGATCAGGGTAACCGGTAGTTAGAAACACTAAATGTTATGGTTGGGTATCGCAAACGGTGGCACTCGTGAATCTACTCCGTATTCTTGCAACCTCAGTTTGCACGAATTAGTTATCTTCACTTTGACTCTTTTCTCAACATTCCAATCTTCATTCTGCTCTTTTATCCAAATGGGCGGCCAAAAGACAGCAACCAAAACCGGTACACGAAAGTGCATGGTTAATGGTTGTGAAGACTGAAATTATTTGGTTTGTATGGAGGCTAATTTTTCAGTTTCCTTGTAGATTGATCATCTTAGTATAGCAGATCAAACAATAGACAAATATTGAATCTCCAATAAAAGATTAGAAGATCAAAGTTCTATTTGCTTTTCTGTTCAATGTTCCATAGATAGTCTTTTCTATGTCTCCAATAAATTGGTTAATCACTTCAACAAAAAAGTTATTCTCGATATGAATGGTAGCAAGTCGCTTTATTTTCTTACACTGAATGGAGTTTTTGAGCAATCTATATTCCGGAAGCGGGGATTCGATTACTAAAGGAACTGCATTTTGATTTTAGAAGGTCAGGGGCCATTTGGTGAAGGCGGGAATATCGTAACGGTAACTTATCACTTGCGAAAAATAACATCCTTCAAGGATGATCCTATGATTATTGTTCTCAAGTCTGTTTTGCAATTATCGACAGTGTTCGTGTGCAACGGTGCACAGGAATCCTAGCGGCTAGCATGCTCTGAATACAACACACACAAATAGTGAGAGATGGGTATTTTTTATTAGCATTACATTTGCGAATGTTGGACAAAACAGAGTTCTTATTGTCCCATTTTCCACTCAGATCTTTTAAACTTCTAATTTCCTCAGATTGTACAAATCACAAGAACAGTTTTAAAAGAAAATAATCGCATTGATTGTCTGTGATTGTTCTCAAATGATGATGTAGGCCTGTATTCTGGATCAGGAATTCTACTGAATTGACTTCTTCGGTCACGTGGTCCAATCAGGGGTTGAACAAGATCTTCTTGGTTAGACAGAACTGTATTGTCAACTGCATATTTTGCATTTTTGCCGCAAAGCATTAAAAGGTACGTCTACTAATGTCGCTAAGAGGTTTTCTATGAGCTCGTAATCGTCTATGCTTTAGTTTACTCTGACAGAATGCAACTGGATTCAGTTCGAGGGCCACAAGGACTCCAGTGATTTTACCACTGAGACATTTAGAGTATTCATGTAAATTCCTATTCAATGAGGTGTTTGTTCATAAAAATAATGGTACGATAGATGACAGGCAATTCCTGCAAAGTGCTAACACACTCGTATTCCATGGAATGGATCTGGAGTTCAAACACCGGACGGGAGGAGAATATGTATTACTGAAGGGCTCTAAGTAGTCTAGCACATACGCCGTTTATAATTGACTGAATGAACGGAGGATTATGCGTGAAGTTAGGGTCAGAAAGACAGTTAATCCAAATTATTACTTTTGAAATTATTACCTGTACTGTAGTTGGCATGCATGTGGTGCGTCTTTTCATCACTTGAAGTCAATTCAAACCTACGGTGTTTTCGGTTTGAAGTAAGTCTCAAATGACCGGGAAAACACATTCGCATGCAGTTTAACTAATTCTATTGAAACGTTTCCAGCATTTCATTGCCAACAATACCACTAGATCAAGTATACTCTTATTATTTTCCAGGTGGACTGATTTGGGGTGCATATTTAGGGGGAAAATCTGTTTTGGGGTATACTCATCTATTCAAAAAGGTATTTAGCACAAAAACAAAAATCCTGGGACAAGTTTAAACCACAAGCGTTTGAGAAGATTTTAGTACTCTGAATGCTTAATAATAACAATAATGTTATCAACGTCACGGCATCAATATTACTAATATTTTCTCAAGTAGATGCGCAGTTTAGACTCTAAACTAAATAGCGACGGAACAAGATAGATTGAATGGTTAATGTCGATGGAAGAAGCTGTTTGTATTTCTATCATTTTTACTCTCTCTTTCTCCATCTCCTGCGTCACCAAGAGATTATCCGAGTTGAATAGTCATTTTCGTCAAATCACCCTGAATTTTAATAGCGATTGAAAAACGAGGAATGTTGAGCCCTGTATTCCGCTTGAGTCAAGTTTCAACCGAACAATAATAATAATAACTGAGTGTTTAGGTGTTTCAAAACATCATGCAGAGAACAAATCAAGTGACGGTGATATACAAACCAGAAGAATCCTTGACAAATCGGATAGTTGCTGCTTCAACCGACCGTTGGGACTCGCGTAAGAAGCCAATTTTATCGGCATGAAACATGACGAGGTCTTGCAGGAACAAAAGATTAATGCAGCTCAATCATTGGAATTTCAACCCATTTCCATCTTGAGTGAGGTGAAAATTCTGCATACGCCCTCATACATTGTTCGTTTGCGATGCCCAAAATGATCTCATTTTGAGGACTTCCGTTATCACATTGATTGCATCTCTTTTTCTCTTCGAGATTCAGCTCTCAATTAGGTGCGTTACAAAACTGTGTGAGTCCACCCGAGCGTCAATTGAAACGGCGCAACAGGATAATTATATACCTCACATATGGAGACGTTGTATTCATGAAGGAATGAAAATTGGACAACGGTGATACACTAAGATCAAGGATAAAGTCGATGAAGGAAGGAAAGGAAAGATGTATCCTGACAAAAAGTGAAGCTTTGAAAAAAATGTGGATAACATACTTGCATCGGGAAGGCGGACGTCTTTTTCAATGCACGAGGGAGCTATTTGATGAGATATAAAAAGCTTAATCAAAGGAAGGGAATGGTAACATTGACTTTTATACACGAAACGAAACAATTAAAAAAGGTCGATGATAAGAAGAAGTCAAGAAAACTGACAGTTATCACTCAGAGAGCATCTGGCAGAAATTTAGAGACCAGGTCACGTCTTTATTAATCAATTTAGTCCAAAGTTTGTCTGTATATGAATAACTACTCTGGCTACCAATGCATAGTTACCAATTTTGGGTAGTAAACTTCATCCTACTGAAGAAGACCCTTGGTTTCTCCATGGACCTATTTTAACTAGTCGCAACTTCAATAATACGGTACATAATCCACTGATTAAAGTTGCCTCTTGACTGAGTGGAAGATTATGTGAAATGATATTTTTAAACTAACTGAAATACGTTCACTTGTACTTGGTTGACAAGGTCAACTGAGTATGTGTATGCGAGTGTTTGTGCGAGCACATAGCGACTTACGTCCGGCGTAAATGACCTCGCCTCGAGGCCATGGACGGTCGTCACCGTGTGTCTCTCCAAATCCATTCTTGTACTGAGCGGACAAAGTTTCAGGGCGATGCACACGAATCACCCGATGTGGTTCCATAGTTTTCACACCCAGTGAGAGAAATTATGTCGATAGCGTCGTATGTGTGTGGGATACACTCTGGTTTAACTGTTGGACGATATGTTTTGAGAACCGGGATGTCGATGCCACCTGATCAGCGGAAACGAATGAGCGGGGATAGAAAGGATATCAGGCTGATTTTTAGCAGGAAAACTGGAGTGTTTTGAATGAACAGATGTTTGGTACACTTGGACTATTCAGTGCAACTCTCTAAGAAATGTAGAAGTACCTAACTCCATTCAAAATCACGTGAGGAAATAACAAACTTACCATTTAGTTACTGGCTTTAGTGAACTTTAACATCCATTGATTTCGACATGTGGAATATATTGATTGATTACCGATTATATCACTCCGCCTTGTACAACATGCACTGTGGCTCAGGTTGATACGCTTCATTTAGTTGACTAGCTAGCGAATGCCCATTATCAACACGAAAGCAAACCGAATCTGTGCAATACGTTTGAGCTCTGTTTGGGCATGAGTCATATCGACAGCAGACGATGAGTCACACACGCAACAGGGCGTCACCTGATACTTATTTTGACACAGGATTTGTGGAAGATACAACCGCTTCCCATGCTGTCCCAAAACATCTCATGAACTGACTTCATCCTGGTTACTTATAGCCCATTTCCACTTTTTTCGTTGTATTTTGTATTTCTACGAATATTTTGAAATGCTGCCTCAAGCTTTGATGTAACTGTTTGATTGGTTTAAAGAAGACATCTGGAAACAGCACAAATCTCCAGCGAAAAAACAAAAAGTAATATTGAAAAGACCATTGAAGCAAAGAATTCTTTTCAATTGTTCATTCTCTAGCTTCTGCACTAGTAAATGATCGCAGGGTAGCGAAAAAAGTCATAATTTATTATATATATATATTACGGTGATTTGTTCAAGTTGACAACATCATACGTTCCGTCAGTTATCTTTTCAGTGTCTGAATAACAGTTGATTAGGTCAAATCGTTGGTAACTTCAATATGTGAGTAATCTGCTTTTGTTTGCGCAATTCCGGGTGATAGATCCGGAAGAGGATGGTACCACCGAGAGAAGTGTGTATGGCAAGCACAGTTCGACTGGGCAATATTATACATTTCTCTATTGCAGTAACGATCAAGCAAAATGAAACCTAGTGCGTTGTCCAGCCCACCTTGAAAGAAGGATTTGTTCCAACAGAACATATGCAGATGAATAAAAGCAACTATAAAACACTCCCGCAGAATGGATACCAGGACAAGTTCATCGAAGAATATCTGAAAATGAAACTGTTGTTGGTCAACGACGGTATCAGTGAACTCTTCGAAAAAAGACTCGCAAAAGTGCAAAAGTCGACATTTTACGCCGCTGAATTGAAAACATTCTGCTCATCCTATTCGGTCATTGCTTAGGGATTCAAAGATCGAAGGCCACTGCCAGCCATTTCTGTGTGCGTTTGTAAATTCATCTGCCCCTGCGGATTCAGTTACGTCGGTGCCACCAATCGGCAGTTGACCAAAGAGATTCAAGAGCATCGTCCGGCCCGGTTGAGAAAAGGACTATAAAGGTCATTCATAGCTCAGTTGTGGAACATCTGATCAACATGGAGCATACGGTAGATGCCGAAAGGTGATTTAAGGTCATCTACAGAATCCCGATGAATTTGCCCAAACAACCGAGGCAAATTATGTTTTGCACGGCCGAAGCAGTAGCTATACGAATACACCCCACCCCCCACCGCCGAAATGTTCAAAAAACGGGTTACTCACATATTCAGGTTGCCTCGACCCAACAATATGATGATGTAATCAATCGTCGCTCACACAATTAAACGAAGACCGACCTAACGCACCACATAGTCACTTTCATCAAATCACCGCAATATAACCCGATAAATCTTGGTTTTTGTCACTACCCTGTGAGCATTCACTAGTAAAGAAGCTTGAGAATGAATAATTGGAAAGAATTCTTCGTTTCAGTGACCATTTTAAAGAGGGAACGCGTCCCGATAGTGCTTTGTTTCCAAACCGTGATCTAAACAGAACCGAACAAACTACCATACATCCCATAGCATTACTTTCCCACCTGCTTGTTTGTGCGACCTCTGGAAATGAGTGCCTCCGCAGTGCTAAATCCGTAACCAGTTGAGTCTTCACTATCAAATATCTTACCGATTATGAAAGATATTCTCCGGCAGATTCTGAATTACGATGATTTCGGTGATAATATCGGCCACTTCAAACGAAAATAGGACAATTTGGAAATAATCCTTTCTAAGAAACCCCACAATTAACTTAGCCTTCGAATAACCCATGCCCACCTACAGTTTGGTACCCAGTGCTTTCTCAACATCATGTTCATACGGCCCCGGATATCTCCACTGCTTGGTTTTTCTGAACCGCCAGGCTGATGACTTTTAACCATCCGGGGTTTCGGTTCAATTTCATCGGTAACATTAATTCCCTACCAAAGTCATACTAAATGATCTACATCAAAAAGCGTAAAATTAAGAATTGATTAGTGATACAAATGGTGAAACATAACTGCCTAGATAACAATATAAAACTATCATTCTTAATTTAATGTAGCGGTCCGATTTATCGGAAAGTGGCTACTTTCAGTGACTATGAGGGGCTGGCCTAATGATGCTCAAAGTAAACGGGCATCGATTGATGGAATGGACTCCCCGAATGTAATTCGTTATTATCCAGTGAGGGTAAAGTATTTTTTAGCAATACGTTTCACGTAAGGGCAGACGAATTGTTCATGATAGCCACGAGTAGAACCGTTATTAGAGGTGATTCTGTGACTAATTTTGTTGTCCGCTTCTTACAGGGGCACTAACTTCGGTTCACTTATACTAGTCTCAGCAATCCGGTTGCCATGGCAATCGCAAAGATTGCTTGAATAAAGTGCCTGAAGAACACCTGAATCGAAATACGTCATTTATATGAATGCGCGTGTGCTTCAATTTGAAAAGCGATATTTTAATGGCAGTTTACGTTATTGATTCAGTTAGATTGTTCAATAACACGAAATGGAGCAGCATCTTTGTGGATAGTGAGGAAAGAAGCTTGATACAATGCATTAGTTACCGTTCAAGTAGATAAACACTATCTAATATGCTTTCTGCCTGCCCATTCAAGCAGTCGAAAAGACGATCCCAATGAAACCGTTCAGGGAAGATGATTATACTTCTCGAGCGAAGTGTGTTTGAAGGAGAGGGCGAAGGAGAAAACATCCTGAAGGGAAAGGGAAAACTATATCACCAGGTGTTTCCTAAACCGTTTCTGGCTACCGCTAAACAGTAGTTTCTCGATCAATAATACTTATTTTCTATCAGCAAAATGAAGCCCACTCGTTGCGGGGAAGCCCAATGAGAAATCAAGTAATACAAATATATATTTATTGTTGCGTATTCAGTTTTAACCCAAATAGACCTCTATTGTGTTGGATACAATTAGTCTATCAGGCTATCTGCTGGTCCAAGTTTCAATCCTTTTATTCAGTCATCCAAGGTTGGAATAAGTTCCGAAAATCCAGGGTAATATTCCTTGTTGTGATTTATTTCTGTTGTCGTATGAAGTGCGTTTTATATTGGATATCAGTTAGAGCTAATAATTTTATCTTTACTCGGTGGATTTCACTGGGAGGAAGTTATTGCGTGTAGCTCTGGTTTACGCCTAAACACTAATCAGTTTGTTCTTCTCTTAGACTAGGAGATCGGTGAACACTAACAAAACCTGGTTTCTCAGCGTTTGTCGTTCATTCTGCCCCTCGTCATCGTTAACATAAACAAAAGCAACGAGGGGAAAGGGAGGCAACATTCCCGTCACCGCCATGTGAGTTGGACGAAACATGAGCCTTGTAATTCAGAGGAATCTAAGAAGCTAGTGTGATAAGTTTTCCGCAAATCTCTAAGCTAAGAAGAGACCATTTCACGGATGGTATTTCAGGTTGGAACTAACATCACCGTTAATAATGTAATATATAATTGTTTTCCTCAAATTGGTTAAATTATCTTGGGTTCTAATCGATAAAAAAAGCAGACATCCTGGTAACCTTTCACATAATGAAAGTAGAATTTTTATGCAGAATAGATTGATTAAGCATTCGATAAAATTCTGTAACCGTAACTGTCATTCACATAGCAACGAGAAAATGATCTAATGAGCGGTCATTACCATCTCGATGGATAACAGCAGCGTCGAGGCTCCATTGACTAAATTAGCAATCAATACCAGCATGCCAATAACTTGACAAATGTTGGATATTACTCTAAAACTACCACTGTTATCTATTGGAACATTGTTTAGAATCATCTGCCTATCAGGGAGGACGCTTGGGACAAATACGTGGGGCATGAGTTTAAATTTTCCAAGCGTGTGCCGTCTAGTCGGTGTTCTAGTTGATTCTGCGGGAAAATCCTAGCACGCATCTGTCTTGAGAAGGAGATCGACTGGATGAATTGCGGAGTGTGTGAGACGACAAATCTGGTAGAACGATCAGTTCGAATAAAAAAACAGCTCTGTTTGTCTGAGTCACCTTTAAGATAGGAAGATCCCGTGATGTGTTCCTATCCGATAAACACCACTCGGGTTTGATTCAGTCTATCAGCTATGTACACTGCAATTCATTGCGCAAAATATCAAATAAAGCTGTACTAATTCGTATTTATGATTATCATTAGGCCGTTATCTATCATGTACTTCATTTTTCAAAATAGCTTTTCCATACTCGAAATTAATGTTTCTGGTAAAGTCTGATTAAATTTGTGAAGCTGAGCTTGTTAGATATGAAGGTTTAATTTACTCTTGTCACTATCTTTAAGTCACGGTGAGAGTAGTGATCGAAAGAAGTGGTCAACAACTTGTCCATTTGTATTTATAAATGTCAAAATTTACCAAGAAAAGGTCCCCTCCACAGTCAAAATGCCATATTTATTTAAATTTTCAAGAGAAAAAGAAAACATCGTTTGTGCTAAAATGTTTACAACTT